TGTAACTTGATTTTTCCAGCTTTTTGCTCTGGATGCCTTTAAATAGCAGTACTGAGAATATGTTTTGCACTGATCTCTTTGATGAGTTTTAGAAGGCAAATACCAGAGCATCTGATATAGATGAAAGCAAAGAGAAGCAATCAAATTCCAGCCATGTCTACATCCTTAAGAGTGAGCCCATCCATCCACGGCTATCGGTTTGACACAGCCCTGCGAAAGAAAGCCGTAGCCAATATCTTTGAAAGCACAAATCAAGAATCTCTTCAAAAGCTCTTCAAAAACTCTGGAGACAAGAAAGCAGAGGAAAGAGCCAGGATCATCCTTGACACTGATCAGGATTTGGAGGAGCGAACGAGAGCGTTAATGGCACTAAAGCAGAGAACAAAAGACAAACTCTTCCAGTTTCTGAAACTTCGTAAATATTCCATTAAAGTTCTTTGAACTACCTGAGGAAAAGCAGGTGGAAGAAAAGCTATGTTTAAAGAACAAGACTGAGCTTATGAAATCTTAACAAATGTGATGTTCTCCACAACCAGACAAGCTTCTAGCAGGACAAGTGAACCTGAAAAACTGGTCATAAGCATTCAATACAATTTTACTCACAGCTAAAAGCTTCCAGGAGTGATCGAAAACTCTCCGGATGCAAAAGAACTCATTTCAGCAACAAGGGAATGAGAAAAGCCAATGTGTGAGTGAAAGAAGCCAGCGTGTTTGGCAAGAAACAAACCCAGCATGCCCCAGACACAGAACTAGGGGATAATGACACAAGAACACAATCAGACTTAATTTTCTCAGTAAACCTGAGGCGAAGGCAGAACAGAACTTTTTCTTCTACTTCTTTACTGATTTCAGCCTTTTAAACTCGTTTTTACTGACTGTTTAAAAGATTTCTAAGCCTCACTGTTGTCTACTGGGATGGAGGGTTGTAATGATTGATCAGCTATTGATCATTTATTTTGCATTTGTTAAAATGCACCACAAATGCACCATGTGGGTGTAACAAGTTCAACCTTCATTCAGGGAGTGCGTTTTCTTTAGAAACACTATGCATTTGTATCTCTTTTCTCTTTGTTATCTGGTATGCTCATATCATAAATTATTTGCACACAAGCAAAAATAATGAAGTTCCTTTCCTGAACTGAATTTACTGTGAAAGTCTCTTTTAAAATATTTTGTTCACTTCTCATTGATACTAATATGTAATAATTAAGGATCTTACTTGTAGATATTCAAGTTAGAAATATTCCATGGTAGTATTTTATGACAATACCATAGTTATATTGACTATAATTTATTCCATATGGTGAGCTACAAACCTAATAAATTATAATGATACTATAACCTTTTTTGACTGCAATGTTTGATTTTAAAAAGGGGTGGGTTTCTATATTCTTGGCTTTTTACCTTTTTATTGTATCCTGAGGGAGGGGAGAATATGAGATCTCTTTCCTTAACTGCCAGTAAATCCATTTGGAAGCATATTCTTAAACTACTTGGGGTAAAATCTTGACCCCACTGAATTCAATGAGAGTTTTGCTATTGAGTTAACAGGGGATGGGATTTCACTCCTTGTTACTAAGATGATTTTGGTGCATCCAGGAAGTGCTCTGATAGAGCTTAAATGGAAATTATCAGACCCTTAACTGCTGATTCTCTTAGGCTGAACTGCTAATGGTTGATATTAAATCAGTGGGTATATTGTGCATTTTCTCCCTTAAGCCTCCAATATACGTGATTTAGAAAAAAAAAAGTTGTAAACAAAAATAAACAATTTGGTTCCTCTAGGCTCCTGTCTCTCCAGCAAACAAGAGGCGATTTAGGGATAAGCCACTGAAATCAATGGAACTTTGATAACAGACTTCAGCTGGAGCAGAATCAGACACTTACAATCTCTCTAGCTGTTTATATTGCACCATGGCACTTATGCACAAAGTCATTAAGCACAGCTAGAGAGTAGCTATTTATAAAGATGTCCTCTAATAACATGCCAGATGAAAAAAAAAAGTTCCCATGACCCTGCCTATTCCACAGAAAGTTAAATGATTCAAAGGAGTAATAGGCCAGCTGCTTGCTTTCTCACAGTGTAAAATACAAAATGGCTATTAATCAGATAGATTAGAAATACATCCTTGAAATTACTTAACAGAGCAGGTAATTGTACCTGCACACCAGACTTCTCCAGGAGCAGCAAGAAGTTTAAAAACAATATGCCAAAGCACACTGATCAATAACAGTTCTAAGTGAATTCCCTCTAGGATAAGGCAGGCCCAGTCCCAAAATCCCACAGGCCAATACCTGTGAAGTTAGTCTGAGACATAGACCATCACTTGACGATCAAAAGACTTGGATTTGTGTCAGGGTTTGGTTGCGCCAGGAAAACAGGATGTGCCCAGAAGGGGATTGCTTCTGATAAAACCAGACAGAATCACCAGGTAGGTGAAATAGGCTGGCTTGGGGCCCGCCCTCCATCTGGGAACGCCCAAGCCTCCCAGCCCCCAGGTGCCTTTTAGAGAAGGGGGGGGCTGAAGCCCTCCCCAATTCATATGGGAATGTTGTAGGGGTGTTGACATAAGAATGGCCAGACTGGGTCAGACTAGCCCAGTGTCCTGTCTGCTGACAGTGGCCAAAGCCAGGTGCCCCAGAGAGAGGGAACAGAATCCTCACGTGATCCCTCCCCTGTTACCCATTTCCAGACAAACAGAGGCTGGGGACCCCATTCCTACCCAGCCTGGCTAATAGCCACAGATGGACCTAACCTCCAGGAATCTATAAGGAGCTGCAGCTGCCATGGAGAGGTGCTGCAATGAGAGAGAGCTGGGGTAGTTCTCTCCCCCCACACAGCCTGCATCCTGACCCCTCCTTCTCAGCCCCACCTGAGCTTTCAACCCCCAAAGTGCCCTTTAGAGAGGGTGGGGGGGCTGACCTCCCCCCCCCAGTTCATATGGGGACAGTGCTGACCTGAGCTTTAGGTAAATCTGCTAGTTTTATAACATTGATAATATTTTACTGTTTGAACATAATCTACGTTTGAAAAGGTCATTGTGATGTTTCTGAATCAAAACGTTTCAGCATTTCAATCTCATGAAATATTTCAAGATTTTGACACTTTGTCCAAATTCAGGACAAAGACAAATGTGGAAATATCTGAGTTCCCTACAGGAGGGAAATGCCATTGTTTGCCCTCTACTGAGACACCAAGGACTGGCTACCCCTCTGCACTCAAGAGACAGCTTTGCAATCTGCTGTTTTGTGCAAATTAGCTGCAGTGCTCAGGGCCATAGCCCTTTGGCTCTGATGTAGGTGCCTGCCCCTCCTATAAACTGCTAAGAGCAGACCTGCAAAAACTGGTAATGGCTCCCCTGACCAAATGTTCCTTCTAATTTTTCCCATCCATGTGTGGAATACATTTTGTTCTGTGCACTGAGGCAGGTGTGGATGTGAACCCGCAATAGAAACACATGCTACCAGCTGTGGGCGCTCTGCTAATCAGCTGGGTTGTGTCTGATCTCTCTGGGGTAGGGGCACACAAGTGCTCCGCTTACAGGGAACACTGCCCCCGACCGATCTGAACTCACTTTTAAACTGGAAATGCCAGGATATGTGGATGGAGGAAACACCTGTGGCATGAGGCCATGCAATAGCTCCCAGCTAAAACGAGACAACAATATAAGGTATCAATATAGACCCTGATCCCGCATTCAGATCCATGCAGGCAGACCCTTGTGCCTGTCCAGAGCTCGTTGAAGGGGCTCGGCACCGTCACAGGCATTTAGCGCAATTGGGGCCATGATAAATAGCTCCTGTGATGCCCATGTCCAAGTCAGCTCCAAGAACTTTCCGAACGCCGGGCCAGATCCAAAGCCCACTGACATGGAAATGGAAAGGTTTGTGCTGGCTTTGGTGGGCTTTGGGCAAGGCTTCATATCAGTCTCTACAGTCCCTTTTAATCCTGCATGTGAATGTGCACAGCCATCCATGGTGTGAACACACACTGTGTGTGCAGATCCCTGGGGTTAACTTCAGGCAAGTCACACAGGGGATCTGTGCTGCAGATGGATGTGTTTTCCATGCGGTTTACACCAGAACTGGACTTGCGTGGGAGACAGAAGAGCTCCAAGAATAGAATCCCAAAGGGAGATATTCGCTTGGAAGGTCCTTTGGCCAGTATCGTATATTGGGAACAGAGAGCCTTGCTCGGAAATCATATGGCAGGAAGATACTTTGAAATACAAAAACCGCCGGCACCAACTAAGTGTAGCTAGACAGGAACCCCCCTTGTAACATCCATTTTTGCTTGCCTGGAGCATACAGGGCACACAGAGCAGAAGGCCCAGGCTGCTGTGACCATGAATGGCTGTAAACAGAGACATGCCAATTGCTGACCAAGAGGCTGCCAAGGAGTGTCCTTGACTTAACCCATATTGATACGAACACACAGCCGTCCGCGGGGGGAGGATTCTCTCGCCCAGTAAAAAAAATGTCTAGTACTTACAATTTAGTTATCTCTCTTGCAAGTGTAAATTAACTTGAAACTTGCTTGTAAGAACTGGCGCCACAAAACGGACCAGTACAATTTGGCCTCTTAGATAAGAAAGAGGATACGGGCCCCCAGGGGTATAAAGATGGGTCCAGCAGCGCATTTTCTCTGAGTGTCAATCTACCATCTATCTGCTGGTCGGGTTTGGTGTTTGATCTACCAAGGTTCCAGAGGGGACGCCCACCTCGTATTCGTCTTTCCTAGGAATTGAGAGACCGGCCCTGGCCTGACACGCTGGAGTCGAGAGGCACAGAAAGGGGTAAAAATTGTACCTGGATGTGGTCCTTTGTTTAAGTATATATATACATAGTGTCAGAGCTCTTTAAAGATTAAGCTGTCACTTGGTACCATTATTTTTATTTTCTATCTTTACCTTTTTCCTGTAATCATTGTTAAGACCTATATATATATATTTGCTAGCATTTAAGAAATAGAGCAATAGCCATTGTAACCATATGCGTTTATACGTCTTTAATAAACCTGTAACTGTTTAAGCTTAACCTGACTCCTTCAGTTGCTGTAATAGAACCAAGCACAATTTAAAAGAACTTCAGTCAGTCATAAAAGGACAGACATAGGGAGAGCTTGGGCGTTTGGATCTGTGTCACTCCCAGGTGACAAGATCCGTTGGGGCACCTTTTCAGCCTTTCCTAGGCTGCCCGCTGCGAAGGAACCCCTGTGTTCTAGCAGCTAAAATCTAAGGTGTAATAAGCTCTTCCTATATAACAGGGCGTCTGTTGGCCTGCTGGCCACACTCTGCGATGGGACCCCGGTCCTAGCAGTAAAGACACGGACGTTAAACCTTTTCTCGGAAACACACACACACACACTGCCCTGACCGTCGGCTGACACTAAGCTACGTGCTCTTGCTTTTTCCACATCTGAAATCGACGACTGTCACTTCCCCTAAGCCTCTCGCAGTCCACACCCCTTCCCCGGGTGGTTGGTGATCAGGCTTTACACACAGTTTCATGTGAAATAAACGGGTTGTTGTCAATCCCATCACTCATTCCCATGTCCCCAAACCATCAGACAGCTCTGCACAGCTAGCAATCTGACCAGCGTGGAGAAAGTGAATGAGGAATTTATTTACTTATTCCCATAATACAAGAACTAGGTGGCACCAAGTGACATTAATAGGGAGCAGATTTAAACAAACAAAAGGAAGTTTTTCTTCACACAGCGCACAGCCAACCTGTGGAACTCCTCGCCAGAGGATGATGTGAAGACAAGGACTTTAACAGGGTTCAAAAAAAGTTCTAGATGATTCATGGAGGTTCGGTCCCTCAAAGGCGATTAGCCAGGATGGGCAGAGATGGTGTCCCTCGTCTCAGTCAGAAGTTTCTGTAACGACAACAGGTGGAACCCAGCCTGGAGCCTCTGAACCTTAGTGCTTGAGCTGCTACAGCTCATGCTAAACGCCAGCTTGCTCTCGGCTAAGGCTGCAGAGCAAACTTGTTATTCTGACTGAGCAGCGGAGGCTGCAGGGCAAGTCCCAGGTGAGGGCACTAGACCCATGAGCTCTGTGCGTGGGTCTAGTGCAGGGTCAGCGATGAAGGGCACGGCTTGTGCTTTGGAAGCAGAGCCAGCGGCGGTACTGCCCCGGCGAGTGTGAGCCATCGGGGGCAGAAACATGGTTTATAGCCCTTTAACAGAACATGCCAGACTTTAGAAACAGGATTGTGACCTGCGGCTAAGGCACCTCCATTGCATCTGTAACAATAATCCACAGCCTGTCGCAGAGCCCCCACTGGCTCAGTGCCTGCTGGGAACTCTTGGGGACAGTATTTACCATCCCCTGTGCAGAGTAATGGCCGTGGC